GATGAGCATCTCCACCTCTGTGGCTTTGCGTATAGGTCTTTGCTTCTAGAATGAACTCTTCTCTTCTGTTAATCACTGTCTTACTCATCCCTTAAGACTTCTTTATTTGTGCAGCTTTTTATGACCTTAGCCTTAATTTCTCTTGTCCCTGACATAGCGTGTATATAATCAAATACTAGCTCGTGGCATTGTGTGAGCTTTGTCTGGCCAGCGAGGTTGAAACACCCTTCGGGGCAAGACCATTGGACGTTTTTTCTATACCTCTGAAGTACCTAACATTCAATAGCAGTGTGTGATAGAGACATAGTCTAATTGTTTTAAGACTAGAATTTTTAGTTCTAGTTAACCTGGGAGGGTGGAGACTCAGTTTCCATGTTCTTCTCTCTTGCTTTTTAGTTGGCTAAGTGGAAGACAGCTGAGGAGGTGGCTGCCCTGATCCGATCTCTACCAGTGGAGGAGCAGCCCAAGCAGATCATTGTCACCAGGAAAGGCATGCTCGATCCATTGGAGGTGAGAGGTGGTGAATGAGGTAGAAGGAAAGAGGGCTGAGACCTGTTGGTTCTGTTTCTAAACTTGGACTTGATCTTGTCTCAGGTGCACTTGCTGGACTTCCCCAATATTGTGATCAAAGGATCAGAGCTCCAGCTCCCCTTCCAGGCTTGTCTCAAGGTGGAAAAGTTTGGGGATCTCATCCTTAAAGCCACTGAGCCGCAGATGGTTCTCTTTAACCTCTATGATGACTGGCTCAAGACTATCTCATCGTACACGGTATGAAGCCACCTCACGAGGAGGGAGGGCCACTCTAAGAGGAGTGGGTTTGGGGTCATAGGAAGGTTCTGTGCCTTAGGTTTTCCCACGGGCCTCTTATGGGGCCATTTTCACATCTTCAGCCTGTGCATGGGCCAGTGACTCTGCATATCAAGTTGACTCATGGTGAGGGGAGCACCGTAGGGTTTGAAATGGGTTCTTGGGTCTCCTGAAAGGATAGGATGGAGGCGAGGGGAAGAACATCAAGTAGCCGACCTCCTCCCATGCTGCCACATCTCTCCCCAGGCTTTCTCCCGCCTCATCCTGATTCTGCGTGCCCTGCATGTGAACAACGACCGGGCGAAGGTCATCCTGAAGCCAGACAAGACTACGATCACAGAACCACACCACATCTGGCCCACTCTGACTGACGAGGAGTGGATCAAGGTGGAGGTGCAGCTCAAGGACCTTATCTTGGCTGACTATGGCAAGAAAAACAAGTGAGCAGTGGTGGGGATACAGATGAGAGATCCAAAAAGGGTAAAATGGGTGGCTCAGTATATGCCTTCTTGGTTTTTTGCAACATTTTAAGCTCAGAAGTTTCTCAAGAAATTGTCCTAGAGATGCCTATAGAGGAGAGGTAGGTAGTCAGTGTCTTCAGATGGTATAGGAAGTGTCCATGTCTCAGGGCTCAGGCTGACACTTGGGCGCTATTCCTTAGCAGAGGCACTGTTGCCATTTTGAGCAGGACGTTTCCTTACTGTCCATACATGGCAGCAAGTTCTAACGTCCCAGACCCCCAGATACCACAGCTAATAACACACACACACCCCTTCCTTCTCTCTCCTTCCTTGTCATTGTGGCAACCAAAAATGTTCACCCAGTAAGGGTGTGGACACACCAACTGTGATCGAGAACTTATTCTAGGATTTCCGTTTTTGAGAGTTTTCCGGTTCCAGGGCACTTTTTGTTGAGGAAAAGTGGGAGGTATGGATGCTGAGCAGGTTTGAGCATGGCTGAAAGGTGTACAGGCACAGGGCCAGCCTGGGATGTGACAAATCTTATCCGTATTAGTGTATTTCCACTTCACACTTCAAGTGTCAATTGAAGGTTATCTGGGGTCAGAGTATGGGCTCCCCTGTCCCACCAAGTTACACCTTGCCATTGGGACGTAAGTGACCAAGGGGAAGGGATCCTTGTGGTGTGACCCACACTGTCCCCACAGTGTGAATGTGGCATCACTGACACAATCAGAAATTCGAGACATCATCCTGGGTATGGAGATCTCTGCACCATCACAGCAGCGGCAGCAGATAGCTGAGATTGAGAAGCAGACCAAGGAACAGTCACAGCTGACTGCAACCCAGACTCGTACTGTCAACAAGCATGGTGACGAAATCATCACCTCTACCACCAGCAACTATGAGACCCAGACTTTCTCATCTAAGACTGAATGGAGGGTCAGGTAGTATAAGGGGCAAGAGGGGTAGGGATGGAAAGGCCTCTGGTGCTACCTGAGGTGCTTGAGTTGATAAATGCCAACATTCTCTACCTGTTTTTAGGGCCATCTCTGCCGCCAACCTGCACTTAAGGACCAATCACATCTATGTGTCATCTGATGACATCAAGGAGACTGGTTATACCTATATTCTCCCAAAGAATGTGCTGAAGAAGTTTATCTGCATATCTGACCTTCGGGCCCAAGTGAGTATGTTTGTTCAACTAGGCCACAGTGTGTGCCAAACATTTTATGTGCCTAAAACTCACCTGAGATTTCCTGGAACTGGAGGTGCTGGTTTTGAAATTGATAGATGAGTAAATATACAAGGAGAGCCAAAACAGGGAGGGAGGAGGGTTTCGGCCCCCACCAGATACCGAGACATTATAAAGCTATGGCAGTTGAGAAATGATGTATTTCCTAGAAGTTATTGGAAGAGGATATATAGAAACAGATTCATGTGTATATAATAAATGTGTTGTATCACCTGAGGATCCCACTTCATCTGTGGGATTAAGCGTGCCTTATGATCCTGAAACAGTCAGCAAAAGGAGGCTTGATCCCTGCCTCATAGCACTTAACAGAAGTCAAATTCAGGTGCAGTACAAATCTGAACGTAAAATACTAAACTGTAGTAGAACATTAGAAGAAAACATTTATCGTCTTAAAGTTAGGATAACCTTCTTAAACAAGACACAAAGCCATCATCAAAATTAATAATTTGTGCGTGACAAAGGGTATCACAAAAGACAAACTAAAAACAGGAAGAAAATATTTGCATAACTCTTAAGATATAGTGGGATCTAGAATAGGGAATTCTCAGAAGTTGATTTTTGTAAAAGATAACTGTAGAAGAATGGTGCGGCAAAGGAGTATGAAGGTAGTTCAGAAAAGGAACTGAAGGTGGAAAATATATGAAAAGATGGTCAACTTTACTAGTAATCAGGGAGAATCATATTTTATAAAACACCAACTTGTGGCCTCAGTCTGGTGAATTTGAAGATTGTTAGTATCCTGTGTTGGGTGAGTTTATAGGAACACAAGTTTTCTTACTTTGTTCATGACAATGTAAAATTTAAAGTACTGCTGAGTGCTGATTTTATAGATGTGTTCAGTTTGTGGAAATGCATGAGCTCTGTGCTTGTGTGCTCATTTGTTTATGGACACTATACTTAAATAAGCAACTGGGGAACGTGTGAGCAGTGCCGATTCCTGGACCCCACTTGAGATTCTGATGTGCTGAGTCTGAGGTGAGGTCTGTGTTTAACGTTTTGAATAAGCACCCCTGGTAAGTCTGAGGTGAGGTCTGTGTTTAACGTTCTGAATAAGCACCCCCAGGCATTTTTGATGCAGGAGATTCTGGCCACATTTGAGAAACTCTGTCCTTGTTCTTGGAGAAGGGAATTAAACACAGGGCTGACGGCCCCAAATCTGGGCTGGTACTAAGAATCTCTTTGGCTCTTGACCCCCTTGTCTCCAGATTGCAGGGTACCTCTATGGGGTGAGCCCACCAGATAACCCCCAGGTGAAGGAGATCCGCTGCATCGTGATGGTACCACAGTGGGGCACTCACCAGACTGTGCACCTGCCTGGCCAGCTGCCCCAGCATGAGTACCTCAAGGTTAGCGGGGGTGTAGGAGAACCGGGGCTTTCTGCTCTCAAGGTGGTGGAGGGAAGGCAGGGGTGTTACTCTCACGGGTGGGATTCCTGTCTGTAGACGGGGCTCTAAATAGCTTTTCACTGCTCTACCCATAGGAGATGGAACCCTTAGGTTGGATCCACACTCAGCCCAATGAGTCCCCCCAGCTGTCACCCCAGGATGTCACCACCCATGCCAAGATCATGGCTGACAACCCATCTTGGGATGGCGAGAAGACCATTATCATCACCTGCAGGTGGGGTTGGGCCGCCTTGGGAGGAAGTACGATGGGGCAGGCGTTGCAGGCCAGGGCCCAGGAATGGTGGCCTGAGCGCTGACTCTGTCCTCATTCCTCTTCCAGCTTCACACCAGGCTCCTGCACCCTGACAGCCTACAAGCTGACCCCCAGTGGCTATGAATGGGGCCGCCAGAACACAGACAAGGGCAACAACCCCAAGGGCTACCTACCCTCGCACTACGAGAGGGTCCAGATGCTACTGTCAGACCGCTTCCTTGGCTTCTTTATGGTCCCTGCCCAGTCCTCGTGGAACTACAACTTTATGGGTATGTGAGGCAGGGTGTGGGGGTGGTGGCGGGGCACACAGGATGGTGGGCTTGGGGTTAGGCCATCACCCTTAGCACTTGGGGCCGGACTCTGGTTTGGAGATGGCCCAGGACCCAAGAGGGTGAGGCAGGTGGACCTTGTCAACACTGGCCCTTTCCTTCTACTCCAAGGTGTTCGGCATGATCCCAACATGAAGTATGAGCTGCAGCTGGCAAACCCCAAAGAGTTCTACCACGAGGTGCACAGACCCTCCCACTTCCTCAACTTCGCTCTCCTGCAGGAGGGTGAGGTCTACTCCGCGGACCGAGAGGACCTCTATGCCTAGTTGTCTCCTCACTTCCTGCTTCAGACTCCCCAGAGGCTAGAGCCTTTTACCCTCACAGACAAGCTGGTGACATTCAACAGCTTGGCCCCATTTTCCTCCATTTTGTGCTTATGTTGTTGACCTCGTGGTGACTTGTAATTCTGAACAAAGTATAATAAATTTTGTATAAATAGGAGTTGTTGAGGTGTTTTTTTTTCCCTCAGCTCGAATTCTGGGTGTAAGGGTGGCAGAGGCCAGACTTGTTCACAGCAAGCTGCTGGACTGATCCTTGAGGCCCCCTGATATTCAGGAGCTATGGGGGTAAATATTCTCTAAACTCAGAGAACTGAAGGGGACTTGGGCCTTCACACTCCTGCTGCCATGACGACATTTGCCAATTTCCCTCCAAAATGCTTGGGAACACTCACTGCTTTCCAGCATCTCTTGGAGCAGTCTGCAGCTGTGGTGCCCAGCCTAGCCCTCTAAGCTTTGTGTCACTCTCAATCTGTCTTGGAAACAGGCACATGGCTGGACAGTCGGCTGCCTCTGGTTGGGGCCAGTGACAGCTCTCCTACCTCTCACCTCTTGCCCGGAGAGTTGGCAGCCAAGTCAGGCCCCATGACTCCAGACACAGGGGTGGAGCCTGGTGTGGGCACTGTGGGGAGGGCTTGTCGAAAGTGACCACTTACAGCCCTGAGCCTCAGCTCCTGGACACCTGGCTGGAAGTTGGCTGTCCTGCTTCCTGTGACCTTGGGGGCTTGAACGGGACAGGGAGCAGGGCACTGAGACTCTCCTTCCCCAGCCTTTTTCCCTTAATCGCTACCCCGCCCTCTACCGTCCTAGACTGCTTCCTGGGCCAGGACTGGTTGGCCTTTTCCTTCCCCAGTTGTGGGGAGGAGGGTGTAGCAGCCCTAGTCGCCTTCGGGGGACATGGAGCCCAGGAGGGTGGGGCCTCGGGTGGCCGCGGGGTCGGGGACGGCTGCGGAGCTCGTGTACCACCTAGCGGGGGCCTTGGGCACTGAGCTGAAGGAGCTGGCGCGCCGCTTCGGGCCGGAGGCGGCGGCCGGGCTCGTGCCGCTGGTGGTGCAGGCGCTGGAGCTCCTGGAGAAGGCGGCCGTGGGGCCCGCCCCGGACTCGGTGAGTCACGGCGCCCTCCCGTAGCCGCCCGCGGGCTGGCGGGGCCCGGCCCTGACGGCGCGGCCTCTCCAGCTGCAGGTATCCGCGCAGCAGGCCGAACTCGAGCTGCGGCAGCTGCGGCAGGAGAACGAGCGCCTCTGCAGAGAGTTGCGCTCTGGGCCACAGGGTGAGTGCGGGCCTGCCGGGGACCGGGGGCGGGGAGGCTCAGGGCCTCTCCCCGCGGGCCGCCGCTGAGAACGCCCCTTCCTCAGAGGAGCGCGCTCTGCTGCGGCAGCTCAAGGAGGTGACCGACCGCCAGCGGGATGAACTCCGGGCGCACAACCGCGACCTGCGGCAGCGCAGCCAGGAGACTGAGGCGGTGAGGGCAGGGCGGGGCGACGTGCGGGGGCGGGGCTTTCCCGGCCCTCCGGCGCCCCGCCCACCAGCCCCCTTTGCTCCGCCCACAGTTGCAGGAGCAGCTGCAGCGCCTCCTGCTGGTGAATGCGGAGTTGCGGCACAAGCTGGCCGCAGTACAAACTCAGCTGCGCGCCGCGCGGGACCGCGAGAGCGAATCAGAGCGGCGGCGCGAAGCGACCTTGGAGCCCGCGCCAGAGCAGGCGCACGGCCAGGCCGCGGCGCCCGGGTGCGAGCAGAGGCAGGAGCCCGAGACGGCAGCCACGGGCACAGGAGCCCCGGGGACCCCTGAGGACCGGGTGAGTGCCGGATGAGGTCAGGGACCGGTCCGGCACTCGGGAAAGGTTTGCTGTGCTGCGTAGTTAGGGCCACCGGGAAGTTGGAAGGTAGCACGAGTGTGCGCCCCCAGCCGGCCTCCGCCCCCAGTCTCGGCCAGAGCACCGGTCTGGCATCTGTTGTAGCGCCCTGGCCTCCCAAGTCTCCCTGCCAGTCACCCTCTAGCGTCCCTCTCCAACCGAGGCGCCCCCCTGACCAAGCCTGTCCTTCCGCAGGCGGATGCCCTGCCGCCGCCAGGACGCCCCCCCAAGGTAGGGCAGTGCGGCTTCAGTCGAGAGGAGGTTGAACAGATCCTTCAGGAGAGGAATGAGCTCAAAGCCAATGTGTTCCTGCTGAAGGAGGAGTTGGCCTACTTCCAGCGGTGAGGGCGCAGGACAGGGGTGGGGAGGCTCGGGGGCACCACTTGCACCTGTCCCCAGGCCTCGGTTCACCCTCCTCATTCTTTGGGTCATCGATATATCCACCCTGTCGTGTGCCGGGCACTGTGCTGGGCACTGGAGGACGAGAATCGCAAAGCCCCTGCCCTCCTGGAACTTCTTCCACATGGGGTGGGCCGTTGCAAAGGGTCACAGCCGCCATCAAGGAAGTATTCCTAGGAGGGGTGACATCTAAACTAAGGTCGGGACGAGACCTCCTCTTGGCATCCCCACTGCTTTTTCTCTGCCCCTCCCCCTCCTCTGTAGGGAGCTGCTCACAGACCACCGGGTCCCTGGGCTTCTGCTTGAAGCCATGAAGGTGGCTATCAGGAAGCAACGAAGGAAGATCAAGGCCAAGATGTTAGGGACCCCAGAGGAAGCAGAGAGCAGGTAAGTCCCTGCCTCCATTCCCCCTGAGCCTGGTCACCTTCTGAGCCTGTTGCCTCAGACTGTACCTGTCACCCCAATCTAGTCACACCTTGAGCCTGTCACCTAGCTTAGTCACTTCTAGAACCTAACCTGGCCTGGTCATCCCCTGAGCCTGCCGTCCTGAGCCCACCACCCTTCTCTCTGGATCGCACTGCTCCCACCTGCCATGCTCCCCGTACATCCTGCTGAAGAAACCTGCTGATTCTGCTTCTCCACAGTCAGTTTTCGGCTTCTTGTCTTGGCCGCATATCTGTTTGTCCTCAGATGGGTAAGGCTGTATCTGCAGTCTTGTCAGGGGCCTGCTGTGTGTCAGGCTAGAAAATAAAAGCCTCAGGAGGGGGCTTCCCTGGCGGGCCAGTGGTTAAGACTCCGTGCTTCCACTGCAGGGGGCACGGGTTCGATCCCTGGTCGGGGAACTAAGATCCCGCACGCCGTGGGGCACGGCCAAAAAGAAAAAAAATCCTCTAGTTGTCCTCCGTCTCCCCTGCTCTTCCTTGTCTCCAGCTTTGGGGCCCCTGAAGTCTCTTTGTCCTCCCCTGCCTGCTGCTGGGGGCTGCACAGAAGGCTGAACATAGCTGGAGTCCCACTGTCCCTCAGGGCCTTGACAAATGACCCTCACAACTCCTCTCTCCTCTGCCTCAGTGACGATGAGGATGGCTCATGGCTCCTGCTCTCCAGGGATAAGGGAGACCACCTCCAGCCCCCACCCCCTGAGTCCAGAATACAGAGTTTGTATGTCGGGGGAAGAGGAAGGACAAATGTGGTGGGAGTGGAGGGACCCCACCTTTCCCGCTCCACTGCGGCTCACCCAGCCGCCCTGAGCTCTGGTGGCCATCCCCTCCCACTCCTCTGGTGGCCCCTTTACCTCCCCCTGCCCCATGCTGCCCTGTCGTCCTCTTGAGTCCCCTTTTTACAGCACCCCCTGCCTTCGGCCCCTATCCTTGACCTCCCTGGCATCCAGGCTCACAGCACCTCTTGGCTCTCCCCCCAGCTTGGGCCTGTGGTGTCAGGGTGGAACAGAGGCCCCTGAGGCTGAGGCCAGCATTGCGGCTACCAGCGAGAATACGGGGAGGAGAGGAGGCTCCACAGCCACCCCCGTGGAGCCTGTGGGCAGCCTGACAGCCCCCAACTCCTGACCGGCCCTGCTCTGCTCTCGATGAATATCTTCATCTGGGGTCTCAGCTGCCCCAGAGGCCTGCCTGACTCCGGAGTCTATCTGGGGGTGGACGTGTGACCTCAAATGAGGACAGGGCTCCCTCCTTCCCCGCCCTCCCCAGGCCCTTTTCTAACCCTGGCCTGAGCCAGGGTGTGACGGGGAGCTCAACCTACCTTCCTTCCTGTATCTCTGTGCCAAGCCTCCAGGGCCAGACAAAAGTGCTGCTTCTGTGAGTTTCAGTTTCCCCATCCATGAAATGGAGAGTTGACTACCTCCCTCCCAGGTGTTTGTACGGATGGCCTAAGCTAATGTAATAAAGCAACTGCCCATGATACCCAGGAACTGCTCCATGTCTGTCTGTCAGTGGTCTGCCCCTGCCCAGCTCTGCCAGGAAGTTCCCCTTGGTTGTCACTGGCTGGGGAGGCTTCTCCCAGCGTGGGGAGTGTGACCTAGTGGATATCCATGGCTCAACCTCTCGCCTATCCCAGTACCCGTAACTTACAGCCTCATCTTCCTGCCCCCCGCCCAGACTGAGACCAGACCCTGAAGCCCCTGCTCAGCCCTCGCCATTGGCCTTCCTTTTCCTTTCTGTACGCTGGTGTCTGGTCCTCTCTGCGCCTGCCCACCCTCTCAGGGAGGTGCCTCATGGCAGCCCGCCCCTCCGGCCTGGTTTCCTCAGGAAAAGCCTTGGGAGGAAGCAGGGAGGGGGTTGGGAGCTGTGGGGGCCAGACTAACCCAAGCCCTCCCACTGCACTGGCCGCCATGGGGCTGGGGCTCCTGTTCCTTCTGCTGCTGCTCTGGACTCGGGGGACCCAGGGGTCTGAGCTGGACCCCAATGGGCGGCACGTCTGCATGGCCAGCAGGTGGGTCTTCTGGGGGTTTGATGGGGGGGAGGAGGACACGAGGAAAGAGGGGTTAAAGCGAGAGGGGCTCGGGGACAGCCTAGAGGGTGGTGGGTAGTGGGGGCAGATGGTGGGATGGCCAGGGACAGAGCGGGAAGGGGTCGGGGACACGGGGGCCGTGACCCTTGGCCAGGCCTGCCCGATGGGGCTGAGGCAGCATCCCATGTCTCAGGGAGACAGTGATCCACCTGCGGAGCCAGGCTGCCCCCCGGCTGACCCCTCTCTGCCCCACAGCCCCTCTGCTGAGCTCCACTGCTGCCCAGGCTGGAGGCAGAATGATCGAGAATGCACCACCCGTGAGTAGCCAGGATGCACCCCCCCACCGGAGGAGAAGGGAGGACAGAGCCCAGTGACCCTTCCTTCCTACCCTCCTGGGGTCTGTTTGCCCTCCTGAGCCCTAGAGCTAGGGTCCATGCCGTGGCCCAACCCCCCAGCCCTGAGGAAACAGCTCTTGAGGGGGACAGGCCACTGGGAGTCAGTGAAAAGGGCAGAGTGTCCCCTGGCCGCACCCCAGTCCTTCCAACCTGGGTGGGGTGTTTTTCAGCCATCTGCGAGGGGCTGGACGTCTGCCGGGAAGACGAGGTATGTGTGAAACCAGGCCTCTGTCGATGCAAACCTGGATTCTTCGGGGCCCGGTGCAACTCGCGTGAGTCCTGAGTCTCTCCTGAAGGATGAGGTTGCCGGGCAGGACTGGGGGAGAGGGGAGGCAAAGCTTGTAGGAATGTAATCTTAGAACAGCAGGGCCAGAATCCCTCCAAGCTTCGCTGAGGAGACTGAGGTCGAGACAGGAAGTGACGCACTCTAAGGGGATGTCCTGAGTCATCTGGTTTTTATCCCATCCACAGAGCCCTCCCACAGGTTCAGTTCTGGGCCATTCATCTTCCCTTTCAACTTCCGGAAAGATGCTGTGGATCCCCGTTAACTGCAGAATGCATGCATTCTTGGTCTCCCCGTATGCGCGTGTGGAGGGTGACTGGAATGTCCTCCCTCTCTGGCAGAAAGTGGGGCATGGGAGAGGGGTTGGTGGGCAGTTTAGCCAGAGGGCAGCCTGGCTAGGAGTCAGGGTTGAGAGGAGGCACTGGGGGGAGTGTGGCTTCTTCTTCGACCCGGATGGGCAGCATTCAGGTGGGGGAAGACACAATGGGGGAACCCAATGAGAGGAAGGAGGGGCATAAATGAAGGCACACCCACTTCTGTGTGACTCTGGGCAAGGCCCTTTGCCACTAGTGATCTTTTTTTTTTTTTTTTTAATTTTTTTGCGGTACGTGGGCCCCTCACTGCTGTGGCCTCTCCCGTTGCGGAGCACAGGCTCCGGACGCGCAGGCTCAGCGGCCATGGCTCACGGGCCCAGCCGCTCCGCGGCATGTGGGGTCTTCCCGGACCGGGGCACGAACCCATGTCCCCTGCATCGGCAGGCGGACTTTCAACCACTGCGCCACCAGGGAAGCCCATCCACTCGTGATCTTTAAGTGTGTTCTGGAATGTGGAAGTGGGAGGCTGGGCCAGTGGTAAAGATTTGTGTAGTTCAGAGTCTGGGGCAGGAAGTAAGCTGTGCCCCAGGAGGACAGGCTGTCCCCGGCTCTTGGAGGGCGGGCCCGGCCCCCCCACCTCTTCCTTGTGGAAGGGGTCGCAGGGCGAGGATCCGTGGTGCCTGACCCTGAGCCCGTTGACCCCCTTCCCTTACCCCGACCCCGCAGGCTGCCCGGGCCAGTACTGGGGCCCCGACTGCCGGGAGAGCTGCGCCTGCCACCCGCACGGCCAGTGCGAGCCGGCCACGGGCGTGTGCCACTGCCAATCCGACCGCTGGGGCGACCGCTGCGAGTTCCCGTGCGCCTGCGGCCCCCACGGGCGTTGCAACCCCGAGACCGGCGCGTGCCGCTGCGAGCCCGGCTGGTGGTCGCCCACGTGCCGCCGCCCGTGCCAGTGCAACCCGGCGGCGGCGCGCTGCGATCAGGCCACCGGCTCCTGCCTGTGCGAGCCGGGCTGGTGGGGCCGCCGCTGCAGCTTCCGCTGCGCCTGCCACGGCTCGCCGTGCGCGCAGGAGTCGGGCCGCTGCGCCTGCCGGCCCGGCTGGTGGGGCTCCGAGTGCCGGCAGCCTTGCGAGTGCGTGCGCGGCCGCTGCAGCGCCGCCTCCGGCCTGTGCACATGCCCGCCCGGCTTCCGCGGCGCGCGCTGCGAGCTGCCCTGCCCCGCAGGCCGCTTCGGGCTTCAGTGCCGCGACAGGTGAGCCGGGGCAACGGGGGATGCGGGAGAGAAAGGAGGGAGGAGGGCGTGAGAAGGAAGGGGAGAGAACGGAAGGGAAAGGGGATGAGCCGGGGGCGCAGGGAAAATGTTGCGCAGAAACAGACAAGGATGGGGTGAAAGGGGAAAAAGAGTCCCTCGACGCCCTAAAGGCCAGCCTCGCCCACCACTTTCATCCGCTTACTGTTAAACAAAATACTACTACTAGCAAGCCGTAGAAACAGATAAAGAATCAACATTGCGGCAAAAGGATTGCAAGGTCCCTCTGAAACTCAATGGTTTTCAAACTTTGACCAGTTCCACCCACAGTAAGAAATGTTTTACCTCCCATTCATATATAATATATGATGCGATATATATATTAACTGAAGTAAAAACTTAACCAGACAACACACATAGGTACACCGAAATGTTTTCTATTCTCTCTCTCTCTCTCTCTCTTTTAATACTGGTCAGGATCTGCTAAATTGCTTTTATGAACTCCCTTCCTCACCCTACTAATGAGTCTGATCCAAGCTCGTGATCCCAGATAATTAAGTCTCTGGAGGGAAAAAACTTCTTAAGGATCAATGAGATATTAAGATAAGATAAACCTTATTGGAAAAGTTGCTAAAAGAGTAGATCCTAAGTGTTCTCATCACAAGGAAAAAAACTTTTTTTTTCATTTTTTGGTATCCATATGAGATGATGGATGTTAACTAAACTTTTAGTGGTAATCATGTCACAGTATATATGTGAGGAGGTCATTATGCTGCACACTTGAAACTTATACAGTGCTGTATGTCAATTATAACTCAATAAAACTGGAAAAAATGTAAGATAAAATTCTAGTGGTGAAAACAGACATTTTATGCATTTTCATAATGCATAAAATGGCATAGAGGATACACTACTGAGGACTGCTCACGCCAGACCTCCGAGATGGCATGGGTGGAATGGGGGAAGGGGAAGAGGAGAGGAGGGGAACCCTGGGCAGAAGGGAAGCAGAGGTTGAGGTTGTAACTTGGCTTCCCTGGCTGGGCTGGGAGCTCCTGGTGACCCTGGGACCCAGGGAAGGATGGGGCTCAGAACCAGGGGTTAGGAAAAGGCTGGAATCCTACTAGAGCCCACAGAGATAGTCTGCCCAGCCTCTTTGTTGTACAACACGGGGCAGCTGAGGCTCGAACCTGCCTGAGTGGCCCAGCTGGCACCGGGAGGCTCTCCTAGTGTTGCATGTACTCTTTCTCTTCCCAGCTGTGGCCACTGCAAGCAGAATGAGCCATGTTCTGCAGACACAGGTAGCTGCGAGTCCTGCGAGCCGGGCTGGAATGGGACTCAGTGCCACGAGCCCTGCCCTCCTGGCACCTTTGGCGAGAGCTGCAGGCAGCAGTGCCCCCACTGCCGGCTTGGGGAGGCCTGCCAGCCAGACACCGGGCACTGTCGACATTGTGACCCTGGCTGGCTGGGGCCCAGGTGAGGGGGCCAGCCTGCTCAGGGTGAGGGTATACCTTCCTTCTAGATCCTCACCGCAGCGGCTCCCTCAGGGAGAGCGGCCTCCTCCCGCAACGCATACATTCACACAGCCCTGGGGACCCGCATGAGGTGCGAGGGATGGGTGCTAATGGGGCCCTGGGCACAGTTTTCCTCCAGCTCCCTCACCACTCAGGCTTCCCGCCCTCTTCTCGTCCAGGGATCTGTAGTCTGTCACCTACTGGGTCTGGCCTCAAATTCAAGGCCCTGTTTGCGCCTGAGCTTCACTGCTGAAAAGTAGACAACTGGGTCTCTGAATCGACAAGTGTGGGCAGATGGGTGAGGCCCCTCTGTGGGGTCCAGGCCTGCCCTGCTCCCCATTCTGAGTCTTGCCTCACCTCAGGTGTGAAGACCCCTGCCCGATTGGCACCTTTGGGGAGGGTTGTGGCTCTACCTGCCCCACCTGTGTCCGGGGGGCCTGCGATGCTGTGACTGGGGAGTGTGTCTGCAACGCCGGCTATTGGGGGCCCAGGTGAGGACTGGGGCCTTGGAAGGAGGCAGGGGCCTAGGTCGGGCCTCTGTGCAATCCGCTTCCCAAACTTCCCTTCCTGGGCTTCTCCATCTCCCAGATTCCCACCCAGCATCCTCATAACTAAGAAGTTATTCCTCTTGTTGTGGGGTCTGCATCTTCCAGAGGAGGGTCAGAGTGATGCTTAATCTAAAAGGCCTGGCTCCTGAACTAGAAGTTACTTAGGAGGAGGGCGCCAAACCCCACTGCTGTTTCCCTAAGGTCTTCAGGTGGCAAAAACATAATCAGTGTCACTATCTCCAATGTCAGGTTTTTCCCACCTATAGGATAGAATGTAGTATCAACTGGAAGAGACCTCATTTTATAGAGGAGAGGACCGAGGCCCAGAGAGTTAGGGGCAGGGCTGGGGATGGCTCAGACCTCCAAACCCTGAGGAAGTGTCTGGATTCCATTGGCATCTTGCTTATCTCACATTAGCGCCAGGTGGGCAAGGGATCAGGCTCATGAGAGGTGGGCCCTGACTGAGGCTTCCACCCTGCGGGGCCTGGGAGCCAGGGGGCAGTTTGTGGGTGGTCTCTCTGGAAGATGGGCTTGGGGGCTAAGGGATTCTTCCAAACACTACTAGGGGCGCTTAGAATGTGGCTGAGAGGTCAGAGGAATCTGCGTGGGCCTCATCCAGGGAAGTCTGTATGGCAGGGGGTGGGAAGCAGTGCCCAGAAATGTACCCTCCCCTGCCCACCTCCATGCCTTCTCACCCAGCCTTCAGCCTGTCTCTCCTGTCACCCCAAAGCTGCAACACTTCGTGCCCATCTGGCTTCCACGGAAACAACTGCTCTGTTCCCTGCGAGTGTCCAGAGGGAAACTGCCACCCTGTCTCTGGGGCCTGCCAGCTGGGTAAGGTGGAAAGAAGGGCACAGGGAGAAGTAACCGGGGAAAGGGTGGCCCTTTACATGGGCTCTGGGGCCTCATTACTTGCCAGAGAGGCTGGGCCCTCTTCAGAGACGTTCTCTTTACTTGAAATCTGTATGGGTGCTTTGGGGCCCCCTGAAGATGTGACAGAGCCTCTGTCCCCTGGGAAGCCAGGCTAGCACCCAGGAAATGAGCGGACAGGGCCGGACACCGGGATGTCTCATCAGGCCCGAGAAGTGAGGGCAAGAGTTTGCGGAAGAGGCCGAGGACCATCGGGAGAGGACCAGTGGGGAGGCTGCCTGGAGGAGGGGGCCTCCAGGCTGAGCAGAGTCTACATCTCTTAGAAGAGCGGGAGGGGCCCACAGGTGGAAGGTTCCCAGGATCTCCCCAGAGTAGGCAGTTCAGAGCTAGAGATGAGACGTGACGTATGGGAGACAACATGGCCCTGAAGAGTCGCCCGTCCCTGGCTCTCCCTAGGATCTCATGGTCAGGATGCCGCCCTCCTTGCGGGCATTCTTGTGCCTCTGCTGCTTCTCCTCCTGGCCATCGCCTGCTGTGCTTGCTGCTGCTGGGCTGCCCGGCTGGATCCCAAGGACAGGTGAACCCTGGCCCCTTCCTTCCCGATTCCACAGTTCAGGCCATGGGTGGAAGCAAGGTGGCATCTGGTTTCCTCTCAGGGGTGGGGAGGGGCTGGCCTTGTCACACACGTAGGTCAGCGGTAACGAGGTAGCTGGCAGTGGCTGTGGCCTGGAGACACCAGGTCAGCCATCTGCCCTCCTCAGAAGCCTTCAGTGGGGGAGGTTCTGAGTCACGCGTGAGCAGGGGGCCCCGGGTACCAGGATGGCAGAAGGCAGAAGCACCAGGACAGCTCTGGGCAGGGAGGGGAAGAGACCAGGCCTCAGAAGGGAGAGTTGCCATAAAAGCCCGAGCAGTGGTTTAGCAGAGAATGTGGCTTTTCGAGAAAAGGAGGCGAGGAGGGATTTGAGCTCGCAGGCTGCTGCGGGGAAGCGGGGAATATTCCTTGCACAGAGCTTTGTTCCTTCACAAAATCTCTTCGTACTTCTCAGCACCTTGGAGGCTCACAGCAGCATGGAGGTTTGGAGCGGGGCACGTGGGGCAGGAAGATTAGCATTCTCAATTCCCAGGAGGACAAGGTGACCCAGCTAGTCACTGGCACGCACAGAGCCCGTGGCCGGTTCTCTGGACTCTTTGTTTTGTCCTGTGTGCTCGTATTAGTTCACGCACTACCCCTTGATCATGTCCCCCTCTGGGCTGTGGGGCATCCTCAGACCAGCAGACCCAGTAGCCTTCCCGCAACCCCGGGGCATATACAGCCTGGAGGTGGGGAGAAGCCCCTCACAGGAAGACCGGGACATGTGCACAGACTGTCTGAGGAATGGTAATGATTGAAGCTGTCACTTCCAGCTTCGGGGCGGGGACAAGAGTGGGCTTCCTGGAGGTGGTGTCACTTCCAGAAAGATAGGTGAGCTGGGCTCAGCTGGGATGATAATAACACACTGCTGTATTTTGGGGCAGCCCCACCAGGTAGCTGGTGCTGTGCTGGGTCCTGAAAGAAGTTCTGAGATAGCAGTTGTCCCCATTTTACGGATGAGGAAGCTGTGGCCCAGAGAGGCAAAGTCTGAGCCACAGTTGCTGCCTCGTGACTCTGGTGCCACGATGCCCTCTGCGACAGGCCCAGATCTCAGGGTCAGTAGTTTGGACTTTACTCTGTAGTCATAGAGAGTCACTGAAGTAGACACAGTCACTCTGTCACACGAATCCCGGGGCCAGAATGGTCCTGGCCCTTTACTGCTGCCCCCGTCCCGCCCCAACCGGGGTCTCCCTCACTGACGACTCTCCCGTGCCCTCAGGCCAGCGAGAGATGGGACCGCTATGTCCAGGATGAAGCTGCAGGTCTGGGGGGCACTGACCTCCAGCCTGGGCTCTGCGCTGCCCTGCGGTTCCCTCAGCAGCCACAAGCTTCCCTGGGTGACAGGTAAGCGGGTGCTGAGGGTCAGGGGCTGCAAGGGGACAGGGCTTCCCCTGGGGCTCTGCGCCTGACCTAGAGCCCCCCCCTGCCACCTCAGTCTCGCACCATGATCCGGAGATCCCCTTCAACCATAGCTTCATCGAACCGCCCTCGGCTGGCTGGGCCTCGGACGACTCCTTCTCTACTGATCCCGAGTCTGGAGAAGAGGACGAAGGTCCTGCCTACTGCGTGCCACCCCAAGAAGGTAGCCCCCAAACAGCCCACTCAGCCCCTGAGCAGCCCTGCTCATCACAGCCTCTCCTTTATTCCTTCAGCAAACGTGTATCAAGCTCCCGTTCCGTTCCATGCCCTTCACAGTTCCTGGCAGTGGGATGCAGCAAAGAACAAGATAGATTCCTGTCCTCCCCCAAGCCTGTAGTCTGGTGGGAAGTAATCAGACACATGTGGGACAGAGTGATACATGCTTTCATGGGGGACATGCAGGTCGGGGCTCGGAATCCAGCCACGTCAGGGATGACTGGAGTCAGGGAAGATGTCTCGGTGTTAGTGGTATTCAGTTGAGCCTGGCAGAATCAGTGGGAATTAGCCCTGGGAAAGTTAGGGAGAGTTGGGAATGATGTTTCAGGAAGAGCGAACAGTATACCCAAAGGCCCAGAGGTAAGAGGGACGTGGCCATGTGGCACTGAAGGAGTTTTAGCATGGTTAGAGTGTGACATTAGTGCGAAGTAGGGTGGGTGGTGAGAAAAGAGGGTAAAAGCAGTAGCATCTGCCTGAATAGGCCCTTCCCCTGCCTCTCTGCATCCTCACGCTCTCCCTTGCCCCGTCTGAGGGGCCTCCCAGAAGATGCTGAGCTGGGTAAGCAGGATGGATTGGGGTAGTCAGCCCAGGTTTGGCCAAGCTCTTCTGTCTCCTTTGCCAGGGATGGTCCCTGTGGCCCAAGCAGAGTCACCGGAGGCCAGCCTGACCGGAGGTCCCTTCCCTCCCGCTGAGGATGCCTCCACGCCGTTTGCCATCCCGCGCACTTCCAGCCTAGCTCGGGCCAAGCGGCCGTCAGTCTCCTTTGCCGAAGGCACCAAGTTTGCACCACAGAGCTGCCGAGGCTCCGGGGAGCTCTCCAGCCCTCTCCGTAAGCCCAAGAGGCTCTCCCGGGGGGGCCAGCCAGGTCCTGAAAGCCAGGAGGCCGAGGAGTCCACAGGCCCAGAGCAAGCAGAAATGAACGGGGCCCCTCCTGGTGCCGCCAGCCCCAGGGATTCAGCCACTGGCCGCCGCCGGCTCCCGCTTAGTGGCCGGACAGTGGCTGAACGTGTGGAAGCCATTGAGGGCAGTGTCCAGGAGAGTGCAGGCTCTGTGACCACAATCTACATGCTGGCAGGGACACCCCGGGGATCTGAGGGCCCCGTCAGGTCTGTCCTCCGCCGTTTTGGTAGCTTCCAGAAAGGCCAGGCAGAGCCTAAGGTCAAGAGTGCCATCCCTAAGCCTCCACGCCGGGCCCTGAGTCGGAACAAGGGCAGCCCCGGGCTGGCCTCTGGCTCTGCCGATCAGAGCTCCAGCTCAGCCCCAAGTGAGGAGCTGACTGGGGCCTTGGAGTCTGCAGGGACTGGGCCAGAGGAAGTGGCCAGGGGGCTGGGGGATGGCATCAAGAGCTCAGGGAGGGGCCAGGAGCTGGTCCCTGAGGGTGGTCCCCTAGAACAGGATCCCCAGAAGCTGGCTGACGAGGAAGGGCAGGAGGAGCCCCAGTATGAGAATGTCGTACTCATCTCTGGGCCACCAGAGCCCTGAGGACCTTGAATTTCGTGAGTGGGAAGACTGGATGGTGCTTAGGCATCCGAACTGCCCCGAATTAGATGGTGTTTTGTGCTGGGAAAAGATCCCAGGGCCAGGAAAGACACGCTGGAGCCCCTGCACTTCCACCGGGACATGTCAGAGCTGGAGGCCAGTTGGCTCTGGCCCTGGCCATGCTCTGGGAGTGGGTCTGGAAGGCCTGGGCAGAGACCCCACAGGATGGGGTCAGGAAGGGGAAAGAGATGGCTGCAGGGACTTTTTCTCTGTTGTCCTGTACTCTGTTTGCCCCCAAAGGCTATTCTTTCCTTCATTTGCAAAACATTTTTCTGAAATGGGAAACAACCTAAATGTTTGATGCTGAAAGATTAATTAAAGAGCTATTCCTTATGAAAGGTTCCTAAACAACCATAATAAATCAGGTCGTGTAAGAATATTTAATATGGGAGCATGTTCACACTATCCTGCTACGTGTAAAAAGTAAATTTTCTTTTTACAAATTTCATTCCTTTTGGTCTCAGAATACGTTTAGAATTCTTCCATTTCGTGTTTATTTTGTGACCCTTTTACAGACTTTTTTTAAAAAAGACGGATGTGCATAAAAAAAGATTTGAAGGGGCTTCCCTGGTGGCGCAGTGGTTGAGAGTCCGCCTGCCGATGCAGGGGACGCGGGTTCGTGCCCCGGTCCGGGAAGATCCCACATGCCGCGGAGCGGCTGGGCCCGTGAGCCATGGCCGCTGAGCCTGCGCGTCCGGAGCCTGTGCTCCGCAACGGGAGAGGCCACAGCAGTGAGAGGCCCGCGTACCGTAAAAAAAAAAAAAAAGAAAAAAAAAAGATTTGAGGGAAAGGCATCAAATGGCATTTTTCTCTGGGAGACGCGATTGTGGCAGATATTTATTTTCGTCTTAAATTTTTGCGTAATTTGCAAATTTTCTACAGTGAACGTTCTTTTTACTTTTCTCACTGGGTTGAATATTTAAAATTATAATAGGCAATATTCTTTGTTAAAAATAAAAAGTACTAACATTATAGACATGTCTAGAGTAAAAATGAGATTTCTCTTCTCCCCAGAGGATTCTGGGGATGAGGGAGGGGCCAGACTTAATTTTCACGGAGTGCCTGTTGGTCTAGTTCTGAATACTTTCCTCACATACTTGTATTAGCCAGTCAGGAAATAAAGAGCAAGTCCCTCCGTCCCAGTGTGCAGAGAATCTCATGAACAGGTTAGATGCTTCCTTTCAAATGTTTTTCTGTGCGCGTGAAAATAAAACAACATACTGTTCTGCAATTTGCTTTTTTACTTAACAATATAACCTGGCTATCTTTTGATGTCAGTAAATATAAAGCTACCTCTTTTTATAAAAAATGGCTGCATGGGATTCCATCATGTGGAAATAACACAGGTTATTTAAACCATCCCCTGCCTATGGGGATGTGGGTTGTTTCTAATTGTTTTGATACAATAAATGATGCAGTGGACAACTCGGTCTACATTTCCTTTTGCATCAGTGCTAGGTTTTCTGTAGAAGAGCTTCCTGGAGGTGGAATTGCTGGGTTATGGGGTAAGAAAATTAAACATTTGAGTATTTACTCCAATTGGCCCTCCGAAAAAAGTTGAATGGCTTTGTGTTCTCATAAATTATGTTGACATCTATTTCCCCACACCCAATCTGATAGGTTAAAAGTGATATCTCATTATTTTAGCATGCACAAAAAATAACTAAAGTAATAACATTTTTAATTATTAAAAAGTTAAACTCTTTGTACAGATAAAAGTTTTGGGTTTTGTTTTTTGGCCGTGCCAAGCAGCTTATGGGATCTTAGTTCCCCGACCAGGGGTTGAACCTGGGCCCTCAGCAGTGAGAGCGCAGAGTCTTAACCACTGGACAGCCAGGGAATTCCCCAGATAAAAGTTTTTTGTTTGTGGGGTTTCTGTTGTTGTTAAGTATCTTCTTTTTTTTTTATATATAATGTTAATTTTTTTCTTTTTTCTTTTTTTTGTTATTTTTGGCTGCGTTGGGTCTTCATCGCTGTGTGTGGGCTTTCTCTAGTTGCGGCGAACTGGAGCTACTCTTCCTTGTGGTGTGCAGGTTTCTCACTGCGGTGGCTTCTCTTGTTGCGGAGCACGGGCTCTAGGCACGTGGGCTTCAGTAGTTGCAGCATGCGGGCTCAGTAGTTGCGACACGTGGGCTCAGTAGTTGTGGCACATGGGCTTAGTTGCTCCGCGACATGTGGGATCTTCCCAGCCCGGGGATCGAATGTGCGTCCCCTGCATTGGCAGGCAGATTCTCAACCACTGCGCCACCAGGGAATGCCTGTTTGCGTTTTTTAACTATCAAAAATGGTACCATTTGTGCACCCAATGTTCACAGCAGCACTATTTACAATAGCCAGGACATGGAAGCAACATCAGTATCCATCAATAGATGAATGGATAAAGAAGGTGTGGCCTAGGACTTCAGGTTCGAGCCCTGGTCTGGGAAGATCCCAAATGCCATGGAGCACCTAAGCCCATGAGCCACAATTACTGAGCCAGCACTCTAGAGCCCGTGAGCCACAATTACTGAGCCCACGTGCCACAACTACTGAGGCCCGTGCGCCTAGAGCCTGTGCTCTACAACAAGAGAAGCCACCGCAGTGAGAAGCCCACGCACTGCAACGAAGAGTTGCTCCCTCTCACAGCACCTAGAGAAAGCCTGCACACAGCAAGGAAGACCCAACACGGCCATAAATAAATAAATAAATAAATTTTAAAAAAAGAAGACGTGGTCTATATACAATGGAATATTACTCAGCCATAAGAAAGAATGAAATATTGCCATTTGCCGCAAAATGGATGGACCTAGAGATTATCATAGTATTTGAAGTAAGTCAGACAAAGAAAAATATCAAATGAGATCACTTATATGTGGAATCTAAAAAACTAATACAAATGAACTTATCTACAAAAGAGAAATAGACTCACAGACATAAAGATAAGATTAAGGTTACCAAAGGGGAGGGAGGGAAGGATAAATTAGGAGTATGGGATTAATATATATACACTACTATATATAAAATAGATAAACAACAAGGTCCTACTGAATAACACAGGGAACTATATTCAATATCTTGTAATACACTGTAGTGAAAAAGAATCTGAAAAAGAATACATATATATATTGGGAATTTTCTGGCGGTCCACTGGTTAGGGCTCCACGCTTCTACTGCCGGGGACAAGGGGTTCGATCCCTAGTCAGGGAACTAAGATCCCACATGCCGTGCTGCACAGCCAAAAAAAAGAATATATATATAAATATATATAATTGAATCACTAAAAAAAGTGAAAAAAATAAGATCATTAAAATGTGAATTCTATGATTATTCTAAGACTGAGCTTCTTTTCATATCTTTAAAGTTATTTGTATTTTTCCTATAGATGATTTGGTTATATTCTTTCCCCAATTTTCTTTTTCTTTTTTTTTCTAAATTAATTAATTAATTTATTTTTGGCTGCATTGGGTCTTCGTTGCTGTGCACAGGCTTTCTCTAGTTGCGGCAAGCGGGGGCTACTCTTCGTTGCAGTGCACGGGCTTCTCATTGCAGTGGCTTCTCGTTGCAGAGCACGGGCTCTAGGCGTGCAGGCTTCAGTAGTTGTGGCATGCAGGCTCAGTAGTTGTGGCTCGCGGGTTCTAGAGTGCAGGCTCAGTAGTTGTGGTGCACGGGCTTAGTTGCTCCACGGCATGTGGGATCTTCCTGGACCAGGGCTCAAACCTGTGTCCCCTGCATTGCAGGTAGATTCTTAACCACTGCACCACCAGGGAAGCCCTTTCCCCAATTTTCAATTGAGATGTTCATTTTTTTCTCATTGATTTATAAGTGCCTTTATATCAAGGATATTCTTTTTTATTTTTATTTAATTTTTTTTATTGGGATACAGTTGTTTTACAATGTTGTGTTAGTTTCTACTGTACAGTGAAGTGGAGTTCCCTGTGTGCTATACAGCAGGCAGGTTCTCATTAGTTATCTATTTTATATATATTAGTGTATATATGTCAGTCCCAGTCTCCCAATTCATCCCACCCCCACTTCCCCACTTGGTGTCTATACGTTTGTTCTCTACATCTGCGTTTCTATTTCTGCTCAAGGATATTAATTCTTCGCCCAGTTTGTAATTGGTCTTTAATGCTGTTTATAGTTTCTTTCTTCTTTTTCTCCATAGAAATTAAAAGTTTAAATTTAGACAGGTCTTTTTCTTTTTGACTTCTGGGTTTAATGTCACGCATAATGGAAAGATGGAAAGGCTTTCTCTACCTTAAAATCAGTGAAATAATCTTCTACATTTTCTTTTAGTACTTTAGTGGTTTTATTTCTTTATGAATTTTTAATTGAAGTATAGTTGATGTACAATATAGTGATTCACAATTCTTTTTTTTTTTTAAAGGTTATGCTCCATTTATAGTTATTATAAAATATTGGCTACATTCCCTGTGTTGAGCAACATATCCTTGTAGCTTATTTTATACATAATAATTTATTTCTTTATGATTTGCCAGCAGTGCTGGTGTGTTGCCTTTAACACTGCTGACAAAAAGACTGAAAAAAACCCCAAACCCAGAGAATTCCCTGGTGGTCCAGTAGTTAGGACTTTGCACTTACACTGTCCTGGCCCAGGTTCAATCCTTGGTTGGGGAACTAAGATCCCACAAGCCACAGGGCTCGGCCAGAACAAACAAACAAACAAAAACCCAGAATTTCATTCAAATTAGACTTGGATTCAAATCTCAGTTCTGACATACTTGTTTTGTGACTTTGGAAATGTTACTTAAAGCTTGTTTTTTCATCTGAAAAATGCGGATATGGCTATATCCCAGGTTATAGTAGGGATTAAATGACAAAGTATGTAAGGCACCTAGTAAATTTTTGACTCTCAATAAAGGTTCATTATTATTGGCATTACATCATTCTCCCAGCTTTGAATCCTTTGTCCCTAGAAGCTGACACCTTTCTCCTCTTCATTTATTCATGTTTTCATTCAACAAACTCATATTGTGCATCTGCTTTGTGCTTTCTTCTGTATTAAGGGCTGGTTAATACAGAATACAATATAATACAATACAAAGCTGAATAAGACACAGTTCGTGCCTCCAAAGAGTTCATAGTCAATGGGAAAAGGGAGAGACAAACAGATGAACAGATTGTAAAACAAAGCAATCAGTGGACAAAGATAATGGAGAATATCGTGAGTAGTAGTTAGGGAAGGCTTCCTGGAGGAGGTGCTGTTCCAGAAGGGACTACGTTTGAGGGTCAGAGGTGAAAGAACAGCACCTGCAGAACTACAAGCAATTCCATGTGACTGGAACATCTTAAGTCAGCCAGGGTGGGGGAGGAGCCTGTGTAGGTCAGGTTGG